TAAATAAGTTAAGTAATACTAACCGTACCGTACTACTACTAGAACCGAACCACCGTACTTCTACTATAGTGGTAGTACTAACTAATAGACGACACAACTACTACTACTACTACTACTACCTACTATATATATATATATATATATATATATATATATATATAAAGATATAAAGTAAAAAAATCTACACAAATAAAAAACTTCATGTAGATATTACATATTTCTCATCTTATAGATATTGCATATATCTCAAACCAGAGATATATCCAAAGAGTACCAATCTTTTTTTATTTCTATTTCCTTTAAAAAACTTATCCATATCAATCTCTCACAAGGAAATATCAATATCTCAATCCAGATTTCTGTATTGGGTGATTTTGGATAGCACCAAATCCAACAGTTTAGAGCAAAATTATAGTCAATTTCATGGATCAAAATCCAGGCGCCATATGACCATATTATTCTTCCAAATGTTAATAGTATATTATGTTTGGCTTGGTCCACTCTCAACTTTACCTTTTCTCTCCGGTAGACTTCGAGCCTGTAGCTTAACTCTAAATTATAGTAAGATAATGCAATATAATGCGCCAAAAGATCACTTGTTTTTTAAGTGGTATTGATAACTTCTTATATCATGATTATTGTCGTGCATGAAGGTAGTGCCTGGGTGGTTTAATGAGGGTCTAATACTCAGTGGAGAAATTTTTTTTTTGAATGTTTTAGAGAAGAGAATATATTATTGTGTAATAAATGATGTGAAAAGATTTGCTGCATAGTGCTTACTTTGTATTTGCTCCATTGCGTAAAGCTTAAATCATGAATGTTTCTTGGACCTCAAATTTTGGGGATTCGACCTCAAGAACCTAATAACCAATCTCATTGGAAAAAATTAAATAGGGCTCTCTACGTTCCTCAAAACAAAGTTATCCCATAGAAAAATAAACTTTTAGAAATTTAAAATATAATTAATATTTTTTTAAATCAAGCAATATTTCTAATCATCAGGCAAAATTAAATTTTAATTATAGTGTCCCCAAAACACGTGCTGAGCACGTACCCTTTGCTAGTAACTATCTGAATCATTAATATGCTAATGGTAACTAATAAACATAACACCCATGATCAAGGTTTTGAAACCTTTTACAACCGTACCCATGATATGTACCTGATTCCCACCATGGAATACATTTTGATATTCACCTTCCAAAAAACTATAGCATAATATTTACCGAAATATTTTGGCTAAACAAAATATAGAAACCAAATAAATTAACCTAAAATAAAGACCATTACATTCAAGTAAACTTCAATTGATCCATGAGAAACTTGTTTTATCTTATGTATTTTTCGCCACACCCACAGTGGAATGTTTTTCACCACACTAGCCAGCACGGCGCCTCGCCCATGTGCGAGAGTCAGCAGTGACTCTCAACACTACCCTCAGCATTGACGTTCTGCTCATAACTCTGTGTTGCCTTTTGAACTTTACAAACTTCAGAAAATGCAAACCCTTTGTGAACACGTTTGGTTTGCTCCCCTGTTGCTACAGGTAAAAAGTTGATGTATCCGCTCAACACTTTTTTTTCGAATAAAATGGTGTTGTACCCCAATGTGTTTTGTCTTTGCATGAAACATCAGTCGTATGACATTCTTTCTCACAGTATAGTCTAACTACAAAATATGAATCTTAATTCATGACGCACATAGATCGCATTAGCAGCAATGGATGCCGCTAGGCACTCTGGTTCCATCAGTAGGCAAGGACACCATCAGTTGCCTCTTACTTCAGGTAGAGATCACTCGCAATCCCAACCTGAGTACATACTTTTTAGTTGATCTACGAGTTGTCAAACCACTCAGCATAATCTGCATCACACAACTTGACACACACACAATCCCATAATGGATTGTACCCTTCACACACCACAAAATATGCAAAATGTTTCGAAATGAGGCTTTCACGGTCCCGGCAAATATCTGATCGCGAAAGAGTGAAATAGATTGAACCCTCATCTGGTTGCCGGTACATTCATGCATCCACGAGTTCTTTCCCCATGCCATTTCTCAATTTCCTATTAACTTCAGTAGGCGTTGAAATAGCTTTACATTTCTCCATTTGAGCTTTTGTGCAACAAGTCAATTGCATACTTCTTTTGACACATGAATCCAAAACAAAACAAAGAGAAGAAGAGGGTCAAACCCTTGAATCCAAAACTGAACATACGTATTTAGGAACACTAAAATATTGAAAGTTCTCTTTGGGATTTAATTGAAAATTTTCAAAATTAGTGCTTTATACAAGGCTTAAAAACACCAATTGTGTGAAAAATAATAGGTTATATAATCAATTGCCCCAGATACAGTATTTCATATTAATGAGAGCGCATGTAGATTATATATTTTATAACAGCCTTTTTATGGGAAAAGGGGCTCAGGTCAAGGTGGTAGCATCCCCACACCCAGTTACCACATTGTGGTATCCATTCTTACTGTTGAGATTCTCAATTTAACATCTTCAAAATGTAACTCCCCCCCCCCCCCTCCAAAAAAAAAAAAAACCCTCTTTATGCATTAGAAAAATAAAAAACCAAACCAAATAAAAGCTTCACCAAATTTTAAAATCGTGTCCAGTTCTTAGTTGTGCCAATAAAATAATTTTGAAAATATATATTAACATAAATAATAACACATTATATATGAAATATCAAAAATAATTTTGAAAATAGATATTAACAAAAATAATAACACATTATATATGAACTATAAAAAATAATGGTCAATTGTTGTATAAATAGCCCTAAATATAGGGGGTGGCAATCGAGTTGGTCACCAATCTGGCAGGTCAACCCAACCGAGTCAAGGTCTGAGTCCATGTTTTGGACATGACAAGTTGGGGGTTGACCATACCTGACATAAAATATATACAAAATATATAATTACAACATATAATTTTTATATTTTAGACCGGATGCGGGTCAGGATCAAGGTCGACCCGTTGCACGTAAACCGACCGGTTGCCACCCCGACATAAGTAGCCAATCTCTTAAAATATAAAGAGCACATATACTACGATCCCTTGGGAGCATAATGTACTTATACTCTCTTGGTCAGAAGGCCTACTAGGGAGGTTTTTTCGATCGAAACTTTTGGTAGCCACCTAAGAATCACTAGATGAATATTTACAAAAGAAAAATTTGAAATTCTAAACTATCTAAAAATTTGATGATCTATGGTCGATCTCAAGACATTATTATTATTATTTTACTGCATAAAGGGTGCAATTAGGGATTTATTTATTTATTTATTGATGTTAATCTATATATTGAAGATGTTATATTTCAAAAATTTAGGAGTCCTAAAATTAATTCTAGGTAGTTTTTAAAATTTAGGAATCCTAAAATTAATTCTAGGTAGTTTTTTACCCAAGGGAGTAAATTGACTGTATACTCCCACTAAGTAAAATATCTTTTGACAAATATGAAATAATGTAGATTTCGAATAGTTCACCATGACTACTCCACTTTAACTATTATTTTCCCATTTTCTCTTTTTTTTTATTCAAGTAGACTCTCAGTTTTTCGTTTCGCTGGGAAAAACGCTATTCTCCCAATATAACACCCGTTGCCTCCATTTTTTTGGGTCAAGAGCAGCCCCCATCCGTTATGTCGTTTTCAAATATTTTTTAATCCAAATCATTGTTAACAAGTCTCCCTTTAAAATACGAGTTTTTCAAAAAATTTTATGTTTTGAAATCCATTAAGAAATCCAAATTTTTCAAAAGATAAAGTAATTTTTTAATGGAACCAATATAAATCCACATTTTATATTGTTTAAAAAAACTTCTTCCCTGTAATTTTATCTCCTCATTAATTTAATACCCTTGAATTTTTGTTTAGAGATAAGCATATTAAAAGTGGAAGTAAATTAATAAATCGATTTAACAAAAAATTTCCCCAACATGTGCCCTTAAAAAGGTGTAATATATTCTCCAAAAAATAATCCATCAAAATAACCATATATTAGTTTGAGTTAGAGGAAGAGTACGTCAATAAAAAAATTTTTGTTCTTCATAATATAGAGCGTCATTATAAAAAGTAAGAAAGATTCAGTTACAAGCAAATATTTAGGCTACTAGGAATTTAGGTTGAGCTTTGAATATTTGGATTTGCCTCAGCATTTTATTGTTTTTTCCTTGTATAGAAGTTTGCTTAATTTCACCTTTTCAAAAAAATATTATTTTATTATTGTATACAACATAGCAATTTGGATGGATCGGTATTTTACATTTTTAGATTTTTGTGTTTTAGTTAATAGCAATCCTATATTGAAGGTCAATTTTGTTTTTGTTTTTGTTTTTGTTTTGTTTTCCAACAATAATTCCATATCTTTGGTACATTTGCTATTTGCTGATGTAGTTATTGTGTTAGGTATTATTGTTCTTGTTATATCGGCTGCTCTCAATTAATCTATTATATATTTTGTATCGGGACAACAAAGTAAGCATTGTTGTTGTATTTATTTGATAGTTCAAATAAAATTTTGTCAACTATGACTCTAAAGATACTAGGTAAGGACATAAAAGTTATAGTTCAATAGTTTTATGAATCCATATAACAATTGCAACCATTCTTCCAAAGGGCGAACCGGCTAGGGCCTATGTGGTCCATGGTAGCCTGGACAATCATGTGTAGGCGGTAAAAATGGGTGGCCGGCCCCTTGGTGCTTGGGCACATGCCTATGCAGCCGCCTAGCCCTTGGCAGCCACCCAGGGCCTGCACTCCGCATAAGAGCGAAAATGACTCTCGTTGGTACTTTTGGGTTATTTAATAAAAATAAGATGGTAAAAAGGTGGGATTTAAGTTTATTTCAACCTAAACCCATTAGTGCCCATTTTAGAGAGGTAGAAACCTCAAAAATTAGATTTTTGTGATTTTCATAGGATCAAATAGTTTCTCAAAGTTGCGAGAAATCAATCTAAACATCATAACCCATTGATGTTAGATTTAGTTTTGGAGATTTTATAGTTTTATTAGAGGGTTTTTTGTGTATGTACTATGAAGTGCGTAGAGTTTGGATTATGGTATGGGCAATGGATATGGTTTAATACGCTAATGTTTTGAAGATTAAACTTAAAAGTTTGATTTTTGAATTTGAAATGCATGGAATTATGGACAAAAATATGTCTCAATATGTATTTTTTAATTTTATACATTAAATATGACCTTAAAACGATTTTTTATTCTATGGGCCTGTCCAGGTTCTGAGCTCCCGTCTAGGAGTGGACGGCTTGGATCCAGCAGGCCTAGATGCCGCTCGGCATTTTTTGGATCATTGATTGCAACTCATAATCTTATACCGTGTTTTCTTTGTATATCCAGTCCAAAATATTTATGATTCTCTAACTTAACTAATATTTGACGATTTGTTTATGTGACCCGATTTTTTACCTCCATACTTTTTAGAACAAAATCAATTTATTACCAAATGTTTTAGTTTGCCGATATATTTAGGGGTGAGAACGGGTCGGATTGGGGGGGGGGGGGATTCGAATAATATACATGGGATCTGAGTTGGATCCAGGTTCAAACCGGATCTTAGATATTCGGATCCGAATTACTCTATATATATACTATTTAAAATAAAAATTTACTGTTTAAAAAAAATCGGGTTGGATTTGGATCCGAATTAGATCCACCTGACCTGGATCCGATTCTAAACTTCAATTTGGACCTAAGGGTCCGGATCCAGATTTCTGATCCAAATTTTGAGTGATCCGAATAGGTCCGAAATCCGGGTTCGGATCCGGATCGACTCCATTATTGCCGGTCAATATATTGACTTGCTAACAGTTCGCCAAACCCGACCCGGTCCACTGATCCCTCGAAAGCAAGGCCGTTAAAATTCCAAGCAGGATAGAGAGTCGCTGGAAATAGGGAAAGAGTGAGGGAAATCAATCAAGAAGAGAAGGAAGCAGATATTGAGAGAGACATGGGAGGAGGCGGAGATGGTCACAGCACCACGTACAAAGGTTTCACAGTCCATCACCCCAAGCGATGGCATGTCGTCACTGGCAAAGGCATGTGTGCAATGATGTGGTATGTAATCACCCTCTATCTCTCTAGACCTATTTTGGAATTTCATTAATTTTCCATTCTCATTGTAAAGAGTTTTTGATCACTCCTCTTTGATACGTATGTTCTATGATTTAAAATTCCGTTATATGTAAAAATGCTTTCAAACTTCTTTGAAACATCGAACTTGCCCTAGCTATTTTCAACTGATATCTATGGTGAACATGAATATGCTCTTTGATCTCTCCCCATTTAAATGAAAAGGAGCCCTTTTTTGGACGTTTGGATCATGGAAACAATTTTCTCATCTAGATGATGTTCTGCGCCATTGCCTAGATGTTGAACACAATTCAATGGCGCTTTCCACAATCCTTCTGAGCAACTTATAATTTCCTTTAAGATAATCTTCTAGTTTTGGGCTTGGGGATTGTATTGTTTATCTTTTGAAACGGGCTTTGGATTATGATAAATTGAATGAAGTAACAACTACAAATATATCTCGACAGGATTACCCTGAATTATACATGCGTGCTTTTAGATGATGAATAGACATAATTGAAACATTCAGTGGATTTTACTTGCGTTGATTGTAAATGCGCACTGGTGGATACATGATGAAATAGTTTAACTGAACTCATAAGTGGCTTAGCGAAGAACATGATTGCTAGAAATTGGTAGCTGACCTGCCAAGACTTCAAATGATCCAAAAGTTATTTGTTTATTTTTATGGATTAAATGGCAGTGACAACACTATGAAAGAAGATTATGTAACCAGTGTGGCTTATCTTAGACTGCATGCATTTGTACCCTAGAGGTTATATAATATTTGTAGGGAGGTTGTATCCTTTGAGAAAAGCTTGAAGTATATGTCATTGAAGCTTTAAGATCTGGGTTAATATGTTCATGCAAGAAAGAAAAGGGAATAATTAAGAAGGACAATGGAGTAAGCAGATTTAGTTGGAGGCAGTCCCCTACAAAACAGGTGCCCTATGGTGAAAGAGCTAGAGGAAAACCTTGACGACCTCTTCCTCCATTGTGCCTTCTCCTCCCAAATTTGATAGTGAGGTCTAAACCTCTTTGATCACGCCAAAGCTCAATCACCAATTTTATCCACTCATACTTCTGCCCTGTCTTTGCCACCACTGGCCACATCCTGTGGCGGGCCGCCTTGCTCACCCTTAGAAAATTTTGCTTCAGACAAATTGGGGCATCTTTGATAACAAGCAGACCACATCAACTTCATCAAAGACTGCATCAGGTCCACTATAAGATTCTAGGCATGCAACTATCAGTTGTTCAAAGCATACTAACTGAAAAGATACTGTTTGGTTGAGTTCATCCCCATCCACATGGCCCTCCCATTGGATCCTGCTGAAGGCTGAAGTGATAATTTCAATGGAAGCTCTTGTGACAACCTCGGTTTCACTTGAATGGAGGGAATTTTCAGGAACGACATGTGTGACACCCTATCAACCTATTTTGCGCTCTTAGTAACAGCACATGCCACCTTGACATTGGCCCAATGAGTCCTAACTGGTCTCAAATTGTTTGTTTGAAATTGGGGCTCCTCTCTTTTTGTCAAGAAAGGCTTCCACAATGGTATCAATGGGGCCAAGGCTCAATCCATTTTTCTTCAAGATTCGAAACCAGATTGGTTCTAACTACACCTTTCACTTGTTTCTAAGATCCAAAACTAGAAACTTCAAAACAATAGGTAGTGTCAGTTTTCAAGCAAATAGTATGCATAGGCATCTAGTGGTGTGACACTTATTGCAAGGCACCTGACGCTGCCATTGCGACATGGAACTTACTAATTGAGGAATTGCAATGTGATGCTCTTAGAAGGGTTCCCTTTCTTAGAAGGAACTACACTTTTCGCTTTTTCCTTTTTTATATATATCAGGGGATTGTCTTTTTTCACGAGAAATAATCTTCAATCAGGTTACCTCTGAGAGGATCTGGCCACAACATTAGAGTAGTATATAGAAAATAGACTAGAAGGTGGCCACACCACTGTTGTGGACAAGAAGTATAAAGGCTTCCATTTAAAATCTCTCTCTCTCTCTCTCTCTCTCTCTTGACTGGCATTTGCAATCTCCTTTAGGCATGATTCATAACCACGCCTATCATTGGCCTTAACATATGCTAATTGATGTTACTAGCAGGTTCAAAAGTGGACATATTGGGCAAGGAGGTGAGACCACGAAAGTTGATATATCAAAGCCTACCTTGATAGGGTGGATCTGTCCTAAATCCCTAATATCATAATTACCCACCTGATTTCTAGCTGCATCCCCAATGGATGATGTACTGACATCTCTATAGGGGTGTGTGCTGTGGGGATTGGTGAGTTCCTATTCTATGTCCGTTCTTTTTGAGGCATCTATATGTTAGTTAGGGGTACTATATGTCTTAAAATTGTTTTGTTGTCTCTTTAATGTTGGTCTCTTGAAGCAAAATTGTCGTTTCTATCTCAACATGTGTGGCTTACATTTTTTGGCGTATCCTGTCCATGTATAATTTTCAAGGCTAAATTGTATGCCTTATGGCATGGGTTTGCATGAGTAAATTGGTCATCTGTTGTATTGGAGAATTCCATCTACTCCTATCTTTGTGTTGCCACCTGGGCATTGGAGTCCATTCCATGTTCTTTTCCCTTGATGATGGACAAGCATGAGGCTGCTTCAAGGTGATGGAAATAACAAAATGAAAGAAGGGCTTGTAGTGGTGAAAGAGTCCTTGTCACTTCCGAAAGTCAGGAAAGGATTCTTGTGTGTGGGCTGCTCATAATAGATGGTACATCACATAAGGTGGAGTAAATGGCACCAATAGTGCACACACAATAGTGGCAGTAGATGAGGTAGTTTTGGGTTAGCTTGCTTGGGTATTATGCTGGTGTGAGCTTGGCATTTTGTACTTTGAAAGGCATAGTACAACATATATGAACCCTAGTGTGTCTATGTGACAGTTGTCATGCACAAACCAATGCTAAAAAACTCGCCCGGATTGACTTGGACTCAGGTGAGTTACTTGGCTGGGCAGAATGCCGAGCTTGGAACATGGTACCTAAGGGTACCTTGTACAATACTTGGGCGAGTGTTGTACAAACTTGCCCAAGTACTGTGAAGCTTGGGCCCTGATACTGTAGAAGTTACATAATAAAAGGGGCTGAAGGTTCACATGCCTTTCTTCTTTGGTTTTTTGATTGGAGCCCTTAACCTAGTAGATTTTGCTCTGATCTATCTATTGGAAGACCCAGATTTGAGGGACAAAACTACATTTTTTAGATCGAAAAAATCTGCCAAGTTTTTGCTTGGTTTTGAAAAACTGCAATTTTTTCAAAACTGGTGGTTAATGTTAGATGAAAATCAAACCCTAAGCCTATTTTTATGTTCGTAATCCAATCCCATGCCCGATTTTCACCCAAAAAAATACAAAATAATTAGAATTTGAGATATTTGAAATTTGGATTTACTATTCAACTAAAATATTTAAGTGCTCGGATGCCCTAGATTGGAGCAGAAAACCCAGAACTGGTTTAGGGGTTTTGATTGGGATTATTTGAGGAAGCTTTGACAAGAATTTGAGGCATCGATTTTGAGGATCTTCATTTGTCTAGTCTCACCTCATTTTGCTTTCGGAGCCAAATGATGTATAGTTTTACATTTAATATGTATCTTTCAGGCCATTATATCTATATGGTTTCTATTAAAACTGTGGACCACGGTCTTGAACTTGGTTGTTTTGAAGGATTAGACATTATAAAATGGATACAAAAAGTTATCTGTTATATTATTTTCTTGAAAGTCCCATTGGTTGTAAAGAAACCCGCACATCACCACAGCAGATACAAATTATGAGAATGAGAAGGAAAAGCTACAAGGATGGGAGATGGAGGATTGCACTTAATGAGTCCATAAATGGACAATACTCTCATTAAGGGACTGTGGGCAGTGTTCAAAACAATGTATTAAGAGGATCCATGTAAGAACTACTTTGTTAGTCATTTCAGTGAAATTATTTATAGGAAATCATGTTACATGAATTTCTGTCCGAGTATGATAGTAGAAATGTAGAATTGAAGAATGATAATAGGATTAATGGTGTGCCTAATTATGGGTTCCTCCTACAAAAAGGAAAGGTAGATTTGGTTTCAAGATAAAAATGCATGTCAATGGTGAGAAACCAAATGATATTGCATCTTTTGTAAGAAATCTAGTCACACCATGGAAGATTCCAAACTTTGAAAGAATGAGCAATTTCCAAGTATAGTAAATGAGACATGTGGTTGTTGTATCAGAGGCCAATATTTTGGGAAGAGGCAATGGATGGTGCATTATTTGGGAGCCATTTGACATGTTTAGAATAGTAGATACATGTTCAAGACCCATCAGATAGTGGGGGAAAAGTCAGGTCTCGACATGGGAACCCACTCCACTTCCCAGTTATTTGGTCAAGGGAATGTTGAATTTCAGTTCAATTCTTGGAACTCCTCACTTTGACCAATGTGTGGCCTAGCATGTGCTAAAACCTTCCTCAGCCCACCATTTTACTAATTGTGGCCTCAAATTGAATTTCTGTCCGATAATATGTAGTCTTGTCCGATAATGTAATCTTGTCGAAGAATGACAATCTAGGGAGCAAGGGATATGCTTTGAGTAGCGTGTTCAACTTGAATGTGATGAATAGAAATGCTTATCGTGTGTATGTGATTGATTCTTATAACCTGTGGCATACTTGATTAGGACCTGTCAATTTCAATTCAATTAAAAACATGGTTAATTTAGGACATGTACCTGAATGTTTTGAGGACCATTGTCAGAATTGCGCCACATGTGTAGGATCAAAGACCACTAGAAAACCATTCCATAATGTAGAAAGGAACTCGGAGTTGCTTGCTTTAAGTTCATGGTGATATTTATAAGTAAATAATGTCATTACCAATAGGGGTAAGAAATACTTTATTGCATTCATTGATGATTGCTAAGGAAACTGTTGAAAGGGAAAAAAAGCTAAGGAAATAG